ACGATAACGCGATCCTGGCGCGTTTCTTGAAAAGAAAAGATTGCGATTTCGGCAGGTGTAGGGATGCTTTTATATCGGACGTTATTGGACAGTGTTTTGCGATAACTAAGTGGTAATTTGTTCAACATGTAATTATCCCCATGAATCAGCATGTAGTAGCTTTTTACGTGCGAAAGAGCAAGAATAATGAGCCTAATGCATAATGAGCAATAAGATTGTGTGCAAATTCCTAAATTTTGTTTTCTCTTAGCTGTGTTCGTTTTATTGCTCACCTCAAGGTCATCACTAACATTTACAACTTAATGTCCTTGACTGAACCTCGAGCTAATGTGCCCGAATGGTCTTGTAGGTCTTGAATTTCTATTCATTATAACCCGGTTACAACTTTTTTAGTCTGGAAGAATCATTGCATTTCTACTGGCAACGATGCCCCGCCGCGGTGGTCTAGTGGCTAAGGTACTCGGCTGCTGACCCGCAGGTCGCGGGCTCGAATCCCGGTTGCGGCGGCTGCATTTCCGATGGAGGCGGAAATGTTGTAGGCCCGTGTGCTCAGATTTGGGTGCACGTTAAAGAACCCCAGGTGGTCGAAATTTCCGGAGCCCTCCACTACGGCGTCTCTCCTAATCATATGGTGGTTTTGGGACGTTAAACCCCACATATCAATCAATCTACTGGCAACGATGAATTAACTTTAGTGAAATTCCTCGAAGTGTGTTTTGCTAGATAGTTATTTTCCTTCCCACCATTTTCCGAGGTCATATTGCCATCAGTTTTCCTTCTATTACGTGAGATATGTATTTATTTTCAACGTGACTTTTTTTATCTAATTAATAACGGCCATCATAGGTTTTGCTACTATCAAACTAAAATCATCGGCCTATTGTTATCCGCATTGGCGAGCCCAGTTTATGGTGGTAAAATACATGGTGCACAAGTGATGAATTAGCACTCATTTTACTTAATCATTGACTCTTCTCAGTGTGGTTGAATTATTCAGCCAAGAAAAACAAAAAGAAAGGAAGAAAGAAAAAAGAAAGTAACGAAAAGAGGGGAAAAAAGACACAGAAAGAAACAGAAGTGGAGAAAGGGATCGAAAAAGATTAGACGAAAGAAATAAGGGCGATGAAAAAAAAAAAAAGACAGCGAGCATAGCAAGTACAGCATAGCCAATCCCTCGTCTATTTTATCATTTCCAGCCAGATGCGCCCGATCAAGCCATTCACCGCCCTCTCCTCTAGCCCTTAACGGCTCTCGCCCATCGCCTGGCATTCGCGTGTGCTTCGCGGTCATTGGGGAGAGAACCCCTCATGCAGCGCCTCTCGACGGAAATCTTATGACGTAAATTTTAGTCAGTTTTATACAAATCCGAGGGGCGGCGCCTTGCATTCCTCGTGTTCACAATAACGGCAAGCACACTGGCTCTGTAAAAGATACAGTGTTTTGCGGTCGTGGTTTTGACATAGCGTGCGGGCAACCAATCGTGAAGCGTCACTGCAACGCTACTGCATTAGCTGCGCTGTGATGCAGTGGTGGCATTCCTTCGAGCCACAAAGATGAAGCACGAAAGAACAGATTGGACAGACGTATGATATTGTAGTGGGAAACGCATCGCATCTACGAGGAAAAGCGCTCGGAAGCACGTGTGTCGCAAGCGGCGCTACCCATTATGTTGCGTCGCATCACTACCCCTCCCTGAACTGAGGCGGACTGATGGCTCCCGTTGACAAGCGCGCGTTTGCACTGGTATTGAAAGCAACAAAGGAGGCGTTGGTATATGGCATTTGATTGGAAAAAGAGAAGTTGGGAGGGGGGTAAAAAACCAGCCATGCCAGGGCCAGCTACGCGCGAACCAGCTCTGCTGTGACACAGCGTTCTCGATTTCGGGCAAACTGCGTTATTAGAAGCTTGCACCTTTTGCTGGGGGGTTCTCTCTCGTCGTTGCGCTGGTGTGTAACAGTATGCTAGCGATCATTGCTCTCGCTGGAGGCGCAGACGTGCTCCTCGTTTCAAAAGCGCTCACTAGATGGCGCGCCACCACTCAAGCGACGCTCACTCGCCTGAGCCATAGCCTCCTCTATAACTTTATATATAGGAGGCTATGCTATATAACTTTATATATAGGAGGCTAAAGTTATATAGGAGGCTATGTCTGAGCACTACGGGAGAGGCCCCATACTGGCTCCACGCAGCGGGCGAGAACCACGATTGGCTGCGCGCCGCTCCGAGGATCGAGCAAGGAGGAGATGCGCGTTCGAAATGCTGGTGGAGGAAGTGGGGTGAACGCCATGGTCACCGTCGCTCCAGGCGTCGAGCGCTGCGCATATAGCTGGTACAGCCCACTATCACATGGCGACGTACAAGACGATGGATGCGTAGGCGAATAGCTGTTCAAAACAGCGGATGATATACTTTTGGGCTGCCATGAAAGCGTGTGGCGTGGCTCTTCAAAAAAAAAAAAAAACATTGTGTATATAACGTGCTTATACAATCACACCACAACGAGTCTCCTGTCACATTTTTCTATGATAACGATTGACAGAGCATTCACGGATTTAACATTTGCGGGAAGTTCCTTCATCATCATTCACTTTTTGGATACGCGTTTTTTTTTAATTTCCATTTATTACAGCAGGGCTCAGTGGAGGCCCCGGCATTGCTTCCCTTTGCGACCCCTTCAACCTCGCCTGTGCCAATAATTCCGCGGTCACAATGAACTAGGCGAAACGCATGAACGGATGTTTAGGAGCACCGTTGTAAAACGTCGGCGTTATATCCATACAGAATGATAAAGTAGAGCGCTTCTGTGTGAGCTCAAGCTCAAACCACACGAACTGGCGAATGTAGCGGCGGTGCTTTCATGGACGACGGCAATCTTCCTCAAAATTACCATGAGGACAACGAAAGCTGCTCGTGAGGCTCGCTTCGTTCACTGATCTCAACAGAAATTCGACAACATAATGTGAAACCACTTTTGTACACTTAATAATTAAGAATTCAGCAGTGGCTTGCAGTAGAAAAATCAAGACTACTTCGCACTAGTACCAATCCTGTATAAAAATACAATTGATCCGATTTACCGATCGTCAGGCGGCGGTACACACTAAAAGCGCGGCACAGGTGGCATGGTGTGTTGACCTAGAACTCGCGCGCAGAGTAGATTCCTCCAGTTTCACAAGGTTCAAAGATGAATCGTCGAGGAGACCTTGTCACCGAAAGTCGGTGGATCGAAAGGAAAGAACACTCGAAAGGCACTCCGGTTCCTCCGGCAATCCGTTCCTTTTGAGGTGCATTCCGGCGACTCCAACAACACACAGGAGACCGGTCTTTCTAGGCAGCCCAGACAGCCAAACAGCCCTTTCCAGGAAATTCTTCAGCCGAGCGGGTCCTGACTCCTGAGGGCTTGAGGCGAGTGGACGGACTTAAAGCATTCACTGCGCTGTCGCTCACTGTACTCTCAGGAAGCGCGCCAATGTCAAATATCTTTCCACGCGTCTAACCGGGGCCAAGACACGGGGGCCGATCACAACAGCTACTATGCCTCCGCCTTATGGTAACGTATTTTGCGTACTTTTTAATGCATCTCGTGACACCAGCTTTATGGGGGCGTAAATTATAAGCTAAAAAACGATCAAGATGCATTTTCTGCATCAAGTAATTACAAGAATGGAATTTAACTGCATGGTCATTCCCGGATTGTGAATGAGCTAAGTATTTCATTCCAAGGAAATAATAAGTATGGAATTTCAGCAAGCCATGAATCAGATAAATGGAACTGCTACACAATGGATGTGCCCATTCGGCCACACTGTCATATATGGGTTCCTTCTGTGACCTCATTCGTCGTCCCCTGTGCCAATGATTCCGCGGTAACAACGGACGAAACGAAACACACGAACACAAGCTATAGGGAGCGGCGTTGTATAACGTCGGCGGGAATCGCGCGCTGGATTTCGTGCCGACTGGTTGAGCCCCGCGATCTCCAACGACAGCGCAGATCTGGCCACCTGGTTCACCCTACGCCATCTCCTGATTCCGACAAGAGCTCTCGCTCAGTGGTGCCCCGACCTCGCACTCCTGCGACCGCGTCCACCTTTCCAATCTTGTTCTTATTTGCGTATGTGGTCTCTCTGTCCCTCCACCCCTCTCTATCTCTATACCTTTATTTCTCCCTATCATTTTAATCCCTCCTTACCCCCATCCCCCGTGAGCTACTGTTGAGGTGTGCTCCCTCAGGGAGACAGTTACGGGCTTACTTTTATCTTCTTTTCACTCATTTAAAAATCACCCCCCCCCCCCTACTATAACGTCGGCGCTTTATGCTAGCCATACAGAAGCATAAATTGTAACTATCCTGTGTGAGCAAAAACTCAAACCACATGAACTGGCGAATGTAGCAGCGGTGTTTTCACGGACGACGGCAATCCTCCTCAAATTCGCCACGAGGACAACGAAAGCTGCTCATGAGGTTCACTTCGTTCACTGATCTACACAGTTATTTCACATCACATGAAATCACTTTTGTATTCGCCCTAATTCAGGATTAGGCAGTGGCTTGTAAATTAACGCTTGCAGTACAAAAATGAAGGTTGCTTTGCACTAGTATACCAATCCTGTATACAAATGTCATTGATGTGATGAACCCTCAGAAAAAGACATTCAGTCACAAATATCATGATGCGGCTATTTGGTAACGAACAATCAGTTAACCTTTAGCGAAACCACGACGTGCCCACAAGAAGCCTGTGTCGAGTGAAGAAAAAGAAGTGCTGAAGCGACGACGCGAGGTAGAGACTTAAGTGAAATAAAAGAAAGAATAGAACGGCGAAGATGAAGTGCGGCAAAATATTTGTACTTTAGTTATCATTTCCCGTGGATAAGTGATTTGAAAACGGTTATGATACCTCGGAATGCAATTTTCATATCTCGGATAACCCTCCAGAGTAGGTATATGAGCCATATATGAAGGAACATTGTCATCATCATCGTGGCATAGCTGCTATCGGGTCACATGGTGTACTGGATAGTCGAATGAAAACTGGCCTCGTGGTGTTCTGAAGGCGTGGTGGGCTGCGATTGGTCCACGTGTGCGGAGTATGTCATATAAGAAAGCAGCGGACCAGAAGCGAGACAGCGTAGCCTTCCACAGGCCATCGTGAGCCTTACCTGGCGGTACCTCCGACTCGACGGCTTGCGCGAGGTCACAGCTCCCGGAGAAAAGGGAACCATTCGTCGATCGAGTTCTACGGTGGCTCTGCTTCTGGCGACAGCGGAGACGAGGCCCCCGTGGGATGGACAGCTGGGTCAACAGCCAGGCAACGCCGACAGGCGACCGCCAGCTTCATCGCCACCGTTGGCGTCTCGCCCTGCGAGGGAGACCTCGACCATCTCTGCTAGCCAGTACAAGGCCCGCCACAACTTCCTGGCCGAGGCAACGTCAGCTGGTGGTGAGCGCTTTGAATTTTTCGTTATTCTCTTGATTCATTGGACGTGTAGCTCACAGCCCGCCACGGTGGTCTATTGGTTATGGTGCTCGACTGCTGATCCGCCGGTCGCGGGATCGAATATAGCGGCCGTGGCGGCCGCAACTGCGATGGAAGCGAAAATGCTCGAGACTCGTGTACTTCGGTTTAAGTGCACGTTAACTAGCCTCAGGAGGTTTAAACTTTTGTAACCATCGACTACGTTCCCTCTCATAATCATATCATGGTTTTGAAACCGCATCAATTATTATATTATTTCCAGCTCATATAATTTTGTATTGGTTTACGCAGTGATAATGCGAGTTTTTTTTTCTCGGTCGCTGTCTTCCTTGCTTTCTTCTGCTAATGGTTTATTCGCACATGCCCCTACAAACCTGTATTTAGTCTCACGACAATCGGTTTGTGGTTGAACGACACCAAGTAATCTAATCAGTCGAGCCCATAACTGCACCAAGTTTTACCTACATCTTTACGTATAGCTTGTACTTGCGATTCGTGCATCTCTTGAGCATACGTTGTATTTAAGGGAAGTTTAACCTTTCCAGAATGCGTCTAGCAAAGGAACTGACGAAAGAGCGCAGCTTGTGTGGGTCATATATACTCACCTACTACAAGTTCTAACCGGTTTTGGCCGCGGGTGTTTACAAAAATATGACCTTTAGCAGTGTGTGGATACCTGTGGGGGCGACCTCACGTGAAGTATTAAGAATCATGTATGGATCAACAATTAGTGTAACATTTTTTACTATCTCTCTTTCTCTTTGGTTTTTCTGCACGCATTACAGTAATCAACAAGCAAAGTCGTTCCAGTAGAGTATAATGAATTCTGCTTTCTTTATGGACCAACATATTTAATATTTTCTTTACTGTCACACCTACAACACTGCACATAAATATTTCATGTTACTTAAACCAAGCAAGTGTTATGCCTGAAAGAATGCATGTCTCTGCTTAATCTGTTATCAAAGGTAAATCCACGTAATTGCGAATGTAATCAGATTTGCATTTTTTTTCGAAATTACTAGCTTTTTGGTGTTTTGTTTGTTTCTTTTCATGTCCTACTACCTGTATTTTCATGGATGTCTTCTTTTGTGTAAATGTTGTCTCGTTATATTATGAGATTCTCGACTTCGCCCATATTTCACACTGGTTCTCTCATTTTTTATTGTTCTGTGGTTTTCACCCTTGCCGACCTCAACTTTAGAGACCCCAAAGTGACCATGCTGATCAGCCTGCTCATGGACGACGACACCCTGTTCGAGCTTGCCTTTGGCACGTTGCTGTGCACCGTCGTTGGCTCAAAAATGTGGCCAGGATTTGCCCATTGCCTGGCCAAGACCAGAGGGACTTTGCGCAACCTGACACTCCAGTCGGCCGGTTTCTACAGCCCACCAGACTGCAAAATGATTGTGTTTCAGGAGCTGGATGTGGTCCCCTCATCAAGGCTTTGTCGTGGAACTTGAAATGATGCATCTACGCCCAGTAGTTTCATTACGATTATCTTTCATCTTGAATTTTTTATTTGACATTTTCGTTTATACTGTTTGTATTTTAAACCACGTTTTAATTCGTGTATTTTGTATCCAAGACCAAAGGACCCGTGAAAATTTGGCAGCCTGAAAGAAGGAGACTCGGTCATAATAGACTTTGAAGACATTCCGCCACAGTTTACAGTCTCATACAAGCTGTACGGGTGCAACTGGAAGACTGTGATGCGGCGCTGCACAGGAGAACGCCCGATCTGTGCCAGGGTCTGGTTCGAAGAAAGTGAAAAATTGAGATACAAAATCAAGATCACGAATTTTTTGTTCGATATTTCCATTTGTATAATTAGTATTTTTGTGCTTTTTTATTCAATGTATAATAAAGAGCAATGCTTCGAAGAAGAGCCATGATTATTACATTTTCGCTAGTCAGCGAGACTGGTGTACCTTCTTCAGGAGCCTTAAATGAGTCGATGTGCGCGTGCTGCTCCAAACATCACCTGCTCTCACTTTGCAGCGAATCATTGCTTGCCGCGCGGGGACCCTGACAGACAGAACACAAGCTTGTCTTGCTTTCTGGGGTAGATGGTGCCATCATTCGACAACCTTGGTTCGCAATGCTCTTTTGCAGAGGCCGGCTAGATTGCTCCGATAAATAAAATTTATGCGCTAAGTTGATTGGTATTAAACCTATTTATAGCTGGATCTAGGCAGAAGTTGGCTGTATCAAGGTAGTAGCAAGTTTGGTGTTACTCTTTTCCTTGTGGTCCTCGGTTCTCAACCTATGGTATCAGTCTTTGATAAGGAGTCTGTGCTCTGGAGATAACCCAAGAGCTTTACAGCCTTTTCTGGGAATAACTGTTGGCTTCTGCATTGTAAGTGTTTAGGAATTTACCCAATTTTTGTGACAGATAGCGGTTTGATACCCTTCATGATGGGTTAACTGGCGGAACATGGCAGAGGCCTTTGTCCTGCAGTGAACGGAGTCAGACTGATGATGATGATGATGTGCCATTTTTTAAAAAAAATTTAATACATAGTGAACTAAAATATATCGCATCCATTTGGTACCTGTTCTCTACTGTAACTACCTCCGCTCTTGAGCTAGTCCAACATTATTCTGCCCGCTTTATCCTTGCAAGCTACCGGTGTACCTTAAGTATCACTTCTATGATAGATTCTAGACGTTTTGTCGCTTGTCTGTTGCCGTCTTTTCTCCCGCATATGTCTTCTTCACAAAATGTCCCAATCGCACCCTGCATAACGACCATAATATCCCTCCATTGTAGGTCTCCATTCTTTCTCCCAGAAAGGTGGGAATCATGCAATGCTCAATGCACACATATCAGCCATTTATTACCCAAACCTCACAGGACAGGAACAATTCTTATAGATCAGTCGCGTTGATAGGTCGGGCAAACAAATAAAACGCATTCCGACTCACTGAAGAGATACTGAAAAGGTCTCTCAATTTGGACTAACTCAGACTCTCTCAAATATTTTGTGAGCCCAACTCACAAAAACTTTCTTCCAAAGGACTCACTTGGACACAAACTCACCCAAATATTACTCACCAGGGCTGACTCAAACTCAAACTCTCCGCTCGATCTTATTCTGAGCGAGTCCGAGTGAGTTGACTTGTGAGTGAGCTAGCCGACCTAGGGTCACGCCCGTTGTGCAGGACTCTCATTTTCATAACGTTTTACACTTGGTGCACTTGAATACAACTAATGCAAGAAGTAACTGTTATGAATATTCTTTTTTTTTTTCAAAACAATAACAGGCTGGGTGAATGTTAATGCCAAAAATCCGATAAAAAAATTCTTAACAATGTTTTGAAAATGTTTGAAATGTTATTAGTCTGTTCCAATATTTCATATGTTTACTTGCACTATTCGAGCAATTCTTCACGTATTTTTGAGTAATGCTTGTAATCAATATAAACTTGTATGAGCTAAAGTGCTTGTACATTTCCTACGTATACCACCCTAGTAAGATGTGGTACCATATTGCTGCACCTATAAATGAATAAATGGATGAATATACAACAATATAAATAATAACAATGACAAATGATGTGATAAAGCATTTTTTTGCAAACTGTCTGATTCTTCTGTGTTTAATTGACACTTGCACTGTTATTTGTTTAATTATGAAATTATGATAATTTCGCAAAGTATTGAATTTTTGTTTGTTTAGTTACGACTTAGCTACTATTTTTTTAGTTAACATTGCACATACATAATAACGTTTGCATTGCATTTTTTTAATCTACTGCACGCCTACCCTTTCTGAGGTCATGGTGAGTAGAGAGAAGCGTGCTCTGACGTGTTAGGGTGCACGCATCAAAAACCAATACCACTTTAGAGAACAGAAAAACTGTACCTTTGGACCGTTGTATCAAAATAATATGTAAATTAGTAATGGCGGCGTACTGAACTGCAATACGCAAGGACAGATGGCATTGGTTCTAGTGCACTATAGCTCTGGAATTGCTTGGAGAGGTATGGTTCTACAGGTTTTTTTCTACGCTCGCACGCCAGCACAAACTTATTAGATGCAAGAAACTGGAGGCGACGACACTATCTGACAGTCATCGCATTTTTATAAGGGAATTGTGCCATACGAATGAACAGGGCCTCAAATAACGAAGGCACACGCAACAACGTGGTAGGTGAAATCATTTTATTGTCCTCGTAAGACAAACAATTTCTCTCAAACTAAACTTCAAAAGAGCATACAAGCGATAAAATAGATCTAAGCATAAAATAACACTCAAATATGTGCGCTAACAGCTTGCTGAATAATAATTTTCCTTCAGCTTACTGTTGGGTCAGCTTGCTGAAAAAAAATTAAAAAGAAGTGAATTATTCGCCTGCAATAGAATTGTTGGCGAAATGAAGCCTATGTGCTTAGATCTAGGTGCACGCTGAGAAACCACAGGTGGTCGATATTTTCTGAGCCCTCCACTACAGGGTTTCTCATGCATATCATAGTTTTGAAACGTTAATTGCAAACCATTTATTGTAACGAAAATGACGAAACACCCAATGTGTGTCAATACAACCAGACTGACACACGGTAAAGCTAATGAGAAATACCAGCATAGTCATGATTGTATTCACCCCAATTGGTTCCTTATGCATGTTGTGAAAGAATCCAACGGCGATATTAAAAAAAAATTACAATCGAAACTGACCAGTGTAACACTGGCTGCAGTTTTGGTGAGCAACGAATCGAAATTCGAGCTCTTTTACACTTGCTGCAGCATATCCTGCTCAGCAAGCTGACTGAAAACGTGCCTTGAGCAAATAAAACTGTGCACACTAGCTTAGCACCATCTGCAACACAGCAGAGGGTGCTAAGAATCTCTGGATTTGGACAGGCCGCCATTGGAACCTGAACTTGGCCACGCTAGAATCTTATCTAGTGAGGGAAGTCTAGCTGTACTATTTGAGGAGCTAGAGGGTGTTAAATGGGATATAATAGGGCTCAGTGAGGTTAGGAGGACAGATGAGGCCTATACGGTGCTACGAAATGAACACGTCCTTTGCTATAGGGGCTTGGCTGATAGAAGAAAACTGGGAGTGGGGTTCCTAATTCACAGAAACATAGCTGGCAACATAGAGGAATACTATACCATTAACAAAAGGATGGTAGGTATCGTAATTAAACTGAAAAAAAGATACAATATGAAGGTGGTACAGGCTTACACACCTACATCTAGCCATGATGACGCTTCAGTTGAAAGCTTCTATGAAGACGTGGAATCGGCAATGAGTAAGGTAAAAACACAGTATACCATAGTGATGGGCGACTTTAATGCAAAGGTAGGGAAGAAGGAGGCTGGAGACCAGGCAGTAGGTGATTATGGCATCGGTACTAGAAACACCAGAGGAGAGCTACTAGTAGAATTCGCAGAACGCAATAATTTACGGGTTTTGAATACCTTCTATCGAAAACGAGGAAACTGCAAGTGGACATGGAGGAGCCCTAGTGGCGAAAATAAGAATGAAATAGACTTTATAATGAGTGCACACCCAGGCATCGTGCAGGATGTGGAAGTGGTTGGCAAGGTACGATGCAGTGACCATAGAATGGTACGGTCTCGCATTCGCCTAGACTTGAGAAAGGAACGACAGAAACTGATACACAAGAAGCCAATCAATGAGCTAGCACTGAGAGGGAAAGTACAGGAATTCAGAGTCTCTCTTCAGAACAGGTACTCGGCTCTTAGTGAGGAAACCAACCTTAGCATAGATACAATGAATGATAACCTGACGAGTATCATTAAGGAGTGTGCAGTGGAAGTTGGAGGCAGGGTAGTTAGACAGGACACTGGCAAGCTTTTCCAGGAAATGAAGAATCTCATTAAGAAGCATCAAATCATGAAAGTCTCAAGTACAACAGACAAAATAGAACTGCCAGAGCTTTCGAAGTTGATTAATAGGCGTAAAGTATCCGACGTAAGTAGGTATAACATGGAGAGAATTGAACACGCTCTGAAAAACGGAAAAAGCGTCAAAGCAGTGAAGAGGAAACTTGGGATAGGCAAAAGTCGGATGTATGCACTAAGGGACAAAGAAGGCAAAATAACTACCAATATGGATAAGACAGTTAAAATAGCGGAGGAGTTTTACAGAGATTTGTACAGTAGCCGGGACAACCATGACCTTAATACTATAGGAACTAGCAGTAACCTAGATGACACCCCACCAGTAATGATAGAAGTCAGAAAATCTTTGGAGAGCATGCAAAGAGGCAAAGTTGCTGGTGAGGCTCAGGTAACATCTGATCTGCTGAAAGATGGAG